TCTAATAGAATGGTTGAACCCATTTTATAAATGGCAAGTTTCTTAAATACCCATAAGTTTTAGGAAATTGATTAACTCTACCACTATTATTTACATATTGTCTTACAATACCTTTAAGTTTTCTTATAATTGACTAAATCTTCCATTGCTGTTAGTGTTTGTTAATATTTTGTCACAATCCATGCACATGTGACGAATAGGTTGTTTTAAATCCAATATTACCCTTTTGAAAACTTAACATCCTTGCTTAATGAATATGGTTGTAACAGGGAAGAGAATAAGTTTGGACTCCTTAGAATCAACTATATTGGCGCATCCTTTTCCTTCCTCATCGAGTCTAATATCATTGATTTTCCGACAAACATAGATAACCTGAATTCAAGTTTCTTCTATATAGAGTATTTTCACCATGAAATCGGTTATGGAGAATGATAGAAAATTCTACAACTTAGAATCACTCGTATAGATTTTCGAGAACTTACCTGGCCAGAACTACACATTGTTGTGACGACCCCCTTTCAGATCTGTGATGACCTTTCCTTTTATTAGATTTGTTCAATTGATATCCAATATTCGCCATAACCTAGAAAAATGGAAAATTTCTTAAACTACTTTTATGGTTTAGCTAATTGATTAATTCACCTTTACTGTTTTACATATTGTCTTAAAGTACTCTATTATTTCTAACAATTGTCTAAAACCTCTCTTCCCATTAATTTTCCATCATACTTCATTCAAATGTGACATCACGTGACTAATATATTTTTTAAAATTCCTAAACTATCCTTCCTCTTTCCTTCCATTTCCCTTTTCTGCTATAGGGCCTATGTTAATGGATTTTGAGAAATCAATTGCAAATCGAGGTTGCATCATTTTCAGACCGCCTATTCTCCTCACTTTTCACAAGGAGAGAGAGAGATGGCTGTGAATCAGGGAAATCGCTGAAGAGGTCTACCTAGAAATACCTAGATACCCAAAAAAATCCATCGGCGGCAATTCCCATTGATTAAGACTTTTCATAGGAGAGAGAGATGGCGTGAATCATGGCTTTTGTGGGAAGATGTTGGTTGTTTTCCACAAAACTGCATTTTCCACCACTACCCTTGGGAGAATATGTAGAAGCATCTACAGTTGTAGGCCCTTCACCTAAAGAGGGTTTTCCAGTAGCTAAATAAAAGTTAAGGTGACCATTGCAAGCCCTAATTAAGAAACCAGAATCTTCTCCAAGCTGATTTAAAGAAATGTGCCAGCTTTTCTGCAACAGTGTTCAGAGAAAACTTAGAAGATTGCCCATTTTGATAAACAACTCCTGATAAACCCAACTCATTTGCATATTTTTCTGTCAATTTAGACCACCTGAAGGTTGTTGCTATCTGAAATGAATTGTTGTTGGTATATAAGAGCTTCTCAATCCCTCAAGGCGTTTCCTTTTAGCTAGTGAGACCTTTTTGACAAAAGCCTTTGATGATTGAATATTTGAAGGAAACTCACCACCCGGAAAACCTAGAAAGAGAGGAAATTGCCGATCACTGATCACCGGTTGCTACTGCGGTCTGAGAAGGATGCAGATAGGGGGGAAGAGAGGAAGAAGAAGAAGAGAAAGAAGGAGAGAGAGAAAAAGAGACAGCAGAGGCAGAGGGGTTGCTGTTGTCACTCGGGATCATTAACTCAGAGAAGATGAATATTGATTTTGTTCAAATTTTCGAAAGTTGTATGTAGTGGTAAATGGAGAAAAAATTTGACATTTTGTTTCTTTCCATTAACATTTAATAGTGATATTAATTGTTAGAAATAATAATGGTACTTTAAGACAATATATAAACAGTAAAGATAGAATTAATCAATTAACTAAACCATAAATGATAGTTTAAGAAATTTTCCCTAAAAAAGAAAAAAAAGTTTGCTTATTTTTTAAGTTTCGTTCCTCTATCAATAGTTTTGCTTCAACCCATGATGATGTCAAGAAGAAGAACACGACACCTTGTTTTCCAGTAGAAAACAACTTGACTGATATTATTATGAAAATCCCTCATCATCTTTGAAATCCATCCATTGTAGATGGAGGTCAAGGAGTTGAAAGGAAGGCTGATTGAGGTAATCAATTTTGCATAAGATGTTCCCTACCTTGCCTTCATGCTCAGAACGGGTATGATTCTCAATTGAAGAGCAAAATCTTTATAGAAAAGCTCTAAATGGGTAGGATTCTCAGTTGGTGCCAACTGAGAATTTCTATGATTAACAGCTTCGGTGGATGGAGATAATGCTGAAGGATTCTCCTCCCCTGAATTAAAAAGAGCAAAATCATCACTACCACCTAAAGACATGAACCTCACAAACATGCTCTCTGCTTCAGGGCTTGGAGGAAATCCTCCATCCATCTTTGACATTATCACTAGGGGGTGAGCAAATGGGTAGGTTTTATCCGGAACTAAATGGAATCAACCTCGAATCAGCCTTGAACTGACCTTACCCAATCTATTACAGGGTAGGGTCTAGTTCCAAATTCTTGGAACCGACCCCCACTTAGGCCGGTTCTAGGGTCTAGGGGTTTACCTTACCCGAACTGGCCTGATGAACCAGCCTTGGTGGAATCGACCTTGTTGGAACCTGTCTTGGAATTGAACTTGCCTTGAAATAAACCTCAGAATACTTTTGGGGATGTGAATATTTGAATCCAAGCATTCATGGTTACAAAGACCATGGTCTCACGTGACCATTGAATTATTTAAGTGATTTGATCATTTGTTTTCATTTTAATATTTGAATGTGTACAATAAGTAGTGTAAGAGGTAATAGTTACAAAATTTAAATTTAATTTATAAATTTTTAACCATATAATGATAATCTACGTATTAAGTTATCTAATTTAATTAATAAAGAGTATAAGTTTTAAACTACATATTATATTTAATTAAAAATCAAGATTTTAAAGAACATGCTTTTTTTTTGTGAAGGGGGAGAGTAAAGAAAGTACAGGTTCCATGAGTAGACCTTGAAACCGACCTCGGAACCACAAAGGCCAGAACCAACCTTCTTAGGGTAGGCTCCAGTTCCAAAAACATGGAACAGACCCCTATAAGGTGGGTTCCAGGTTCTGCCATGGAACCAAACCAAACCGACCCATGTTCATCCCTAATTACCATTGCTAAAATCAATAAAAAACACAAGCAATGAATGCTGCGACTAAAGATTTACATCCTTTGATAATGCTTCAGAACCACCAAATATCATCTTTCACCGTTCCACACATGAACGCATTATAGTCCAACCGATTCTTTCAACATTAAAAGAATAGACTCTAGAGCAGATTAAATCAGCAAGTTAGCTAGAGAAGGAGATGGGTGGATTGACGAAGGAAAGAAGGCGAGGGAACACAAGAAAGCTTTGACATTTAGATGGTAGAATTTTGAAATTTCGAGTAAAATAATATTTTTATCTTTTTGTGTTAATATATGCTAATGGGAAGGGAGGATTAACCAATTATCGACAAGGAAGGTTTAGTCAATTATTAGAAAAACTAAGGGTATTTTAAGATAGTATGTAGACAATAAATGTAGAATTGGTTAATTTTTTAAAACTTAGGGTTACATTAATAAATTTGCCCTTTTATAAATTGGCATACCGGTAATTATTGTCAAATGTGATCCTATTTTACTATTAAATCTTTTTATTTTTTAGGCAAATTTTTTAAACTACCTCTATTGTTTAGCTAATTGACAAATTGTACTTTTATTGTATAACTATTATCTTAGAGTACCCCCAAGTATTTTGACAATTGACTAGCTCTACCCTTGTCATTAAAGTTCGTTAATGTTCCCCCAAAATCTGTACACACGTAACATATAATTTTTTTAAAAAACCCAATACTACCCTCCATCCTTATCTTCACTTCCCATTTTCCTTTTCTTCAACCCATGGTTTTTAAGAACGAACCAGTGACCGAACTGGTCAGGGGTCCGGTTACCGGTTCGAACGATCCAACCGTTCGACTCGAACGGACGGCTCATTCTAACAAAAAAATAAAAAAATAAAAAATTTGGAAAACGGTTAAAACCATTCGAATGATTCGAATGACAAACCAGCCGGTTCAGCAATTTGCTGACCAAAATTAACGATTTTAAGGGAAAAAATGATTTTGGAAGAAAACAGAACCTGTTAGGTGACTGATTCCTAATTTTTCTAGTCCGACCGTCCGGTTTGGTCTGGTTTTGAAAACAGTGCTTCAACCTTTTCTTCTTTAAAGAGCCCAATTGACATCATCCTCCACCCGGGCAGCTTCATCCTCGCAGTGTGCGAATGGTGTGAGCACCAGTGTTGCACTCACCACAGCCATAACTGAGAAGTGAGAACCAAACCAGAACCCACCTTCCCTATCTCTACCGCCATCCCTTCCTCTCTACTTTAGAAATCTGATCCTTCGTAGGGATGAAATTTTTTATCAGTTGATTTTTTTTTTATCGTGTTTTCTTTCTCAAAGTCAAGCCTTTAGTTGCTTTAGCCCTGAGATGAATTCCTTCGAGCACAGCTAAAAACTACCCTTCTAAGCGCAATGAGACTGGTGTCTTTGACTTGTAGCTCGGTATCAATGAGGGCATAAGGGGTAGAGACCGGGGCTTTCGACCTTGGTATTACGATGTTTTAGAAGTGTTTCAGGTAGAGACGGAGACGGAGCAACAATGTCAGTCATTCCTATCTTTTTGAAAATTTTCATATGTTTGTTTTATTTTGAAAATTTGAATAATAAAGAACAAATTTGACATTTTGTTTTTCGATTATCACTGAATGACAATATCAATTATCAGAAAGAAAAAGTTAAAAAGTATTTGAAAGTAATACTTAAAAAGTAAAGGTTATAATATCAATTGTCAGAAATAACAAGGGTATTTTAAGATAATAATTAAACAGTTAAGGTAGAATCAGTCTATTAGCTAAACTATAAGGGATAATTTAAGAAATTTGCCCATATTTTTTCAATATTGTTCTCTATATATTCCAGCAACCGGAGTGTGATCGCCACATACGCACCCGTAGTAAGACACAAGAACAAGAAAGGGGTTCACCTCAGTGCTCGTATCTTCTCTGCTCTAGCCATGGATCCTTACAAGGTATCAAGTTTCGATTTTTCACTTAGATTCAATACTCAGTTGATTATGTAGTTTGATGGTTGCACATTGATTTGGCTTTTCTTTTTTCCGTGTTTTGATCGAATTTCCTTCTTTGTCTCACAGCTTTTTCTTTCATCGCCTTTTTTTTTTTGTTGGTTGATCGAATTTGTTTCTCGGGCTTTCTGTTCTGAGACATCCTTATAATTCGACTGATATATATATTATTTTATTTCTTCTTCTTTTTCATCGATTTTATAGAAGGGTAAAGGGTTTTCTTGTTGATTTCTCTTCTTTTTAGACCAGGATTCAGTCATGGGGGTTCTACGAACGATGCAATACCTCCTCTTTCTTTTATTTCCTTTTGTAAGATTTTTGTTGCTTCCGATTTCCAGTTCTTATCAGATTTCTTGTATGATCCATTCCCCCCCACCCCCCAATTGCTGCTTTATGTGTTCATTATGCTACTTCGCTTTGTATAATTCATTGTTTCCAATCCTATAGTTTTAGTCGTATTACTTTTTCATAATTCTTTTCTGATGTGGTTTACTTGATCTGATACAGTATCGCCCTTCAAGCGCATTCAATTCTCCTTTCTGGAGCACAAATTCTGGTGCTCCTGTTTGGAATAATAATTCATCACTAACTGTCGGAACAAGAGGTAATGATTCATTATTAGTTGATTAACACTATCCCTAGCTCTATAGCTATAATTGACAGTACTATTTTTGTTTAGCGAGAGGGAACTTAAAGAAATTCTTCCATTCCTATTGAGTTTCTGCTTATCTAGTTGGCATCTTGAATTTTCTTGGTTTAAGTTTTACTTCATGGATTTTTTATAAGTCGTATGTGAACACTGGGCATACTGAACATGCTAGCTTCAAGCACAGGAGAGATAGCACTGCCACTGCTGTTTGTAGTGTTCTGATTTTCAGAATTGAAATGTTATTGAATGCAAAAAAATAAGAAAAAAAGGCATAGAATAAGACCCACAAATGAACTGCTATTTTAACCACCTATCACCTATTGGAACTTTAGGGTTTTAAGTCTTTTGACCAAACAAAAATCAAACGTAATAAGCAACATAATCTAATTTTTACTAAGTTTAATTCAGTGTATAGATATTATTTGTCAAAGATATTTATTAGTTTTTTTTTTTATAATTGTCGAAGATATTATTAGTTTGTCCCTAATTATTAGTCAAAGATATGCTGATAAAAAAATATATTAGTCAAAGATATATGATGTTTTAATTTTTCAACATCCTTTGCTACATTTGGTATTTGCTTCTTATACATTTTGTGTTATATGTAAAAGGGGGGGGGGATTATGGGTCAATATGTGTAGAAGGTGCCATATTTTAAATATAGTTTGACATTTGAAGTTCTACAATCACAAGCTCGAATATTCCATTTGACAGGTCCAATTATGCTTGAGGATTATCATTTAGTTGAAAAAATAGCAAACTTTGACAGGGAACGAATCCCAGAACGTGTTGTCCATGCGAGGGGAGCTAGTGCCAAGGGGTTTTTTGAGGTTACACATGATATTTCACACCTCACATGTGCAGATTTCCTAAGGGCACCTGGAGTTCAGACCCCAGTCATTGTTCGCTTCTCCACTGTTATCCATGAGCGAGGCAGCCCTGAAACTCTGAGGGATCCCCGGGGTTTTGCTGTGAAGTTCTATACGAGAGAGGTAACTATACATTTAATCTTTGTTTTTCTACGGTTTCACAATATCATAATCTTAGCCAGAATTTTAAATTATAAGAATAAAATTTTCATATTCCCAACCTTGTGTTATTTGCCAGGCATACAGTTATCATTAATTATCTGACTTCTTAACTTGGTTTTTGTTGTCTCATAAATGGCTTTGATATCCTATGCATTAATGATATGACCCCTCTCCCCCTCCCTGTGTGCACTGTGTGGGTGGTGTTGAGGAGTCTATTTTCTTTCATCTGTACATCATTCTGTGCTGATAAAAATTTTTGGTACATTTAGGCTATATTTGGTTCCATGGGCGTTTATTGAAAAAACGCTGCCACATTAGTGCCTTATAGGCATTGGCGTTTATTGTGCAAGAAACCTCTGTTTGGTTTCAACGTTTATCAAATAAACACTAAAAAACATAAATGCTTGGATTGATGTGCATGAGGCATTTGGGGAAACGATAAATTCTTGTTTCCCCTAACACCCCATTGTTTCTTGAAATGAAATGCTTATGTGGCATACTTTATGGGGTATTAGTCTGAGGTGGAAAGTAAGAAACGTTAAAGTAATGCCAACCAAATAACAAAAGCAAGAAATGTTTAAAGTAGAGTTTTTCAAATAAACATTTAAAGCAATAAACACCCCCTCTTTAAATACCCATGGAACCAAACGCATACTTAATGTGCAATTTATTCATTCTTTTGATCAATTTGTGTTTTTCTGTTGTTCATCTCAGGGTAATTTTGATCTAGTAGGGAACAATTTCCCAGTGTTCTTCATTCGTGATGGAATGAAGTTCCCAGACATGGTCCATTCTCTCAAACCCAATCCTAAGTCTCACATCCAGGAAAATTGGAGGATCCTTGATTTCTTCTCCCACCACCCGGAAAGCCTGCATATGTTCAGCTTCCTCTTTGATGATGTTGGTATTCCACAGGATTACAGGCACATGGAGGGCTCTGGTGTTAACACCTACACCCTCATCAACAAGACTGGGAAAGCACATTATGTAAAGTTCCATTGGAAACCTACTTGCGGGGTCAAGTGTTTGTTGGATGATGAGGCTGTGATGGTTGGAGGAGCCAATCACAGCCATGCAACTAAGGATCTGTACGACTCAATCCAGGCTGGAAACTATCCTGAGTGGAAGCTTTTCATCCAGACGATAGATCCTGATCATGAAGACAAGTTGGACTTTGACCCACTTGATGTGACCAAGACCTGGCCGGAAGATATTATTCCCCTGCAACCTGTAGGTCGTTTAGTCTTAAACAAGAACATTGATAACTTCTTTGCAGAGAATGAGCAGCTTGCATTTTGCCCTGGCGTTGTGGTCCCGGGTATCTACTATTCAGATGATAAGCTTCTTCAGACTCGGATATTCTCCTACTCTGATACTCAGAGGCATCGTCTTGGGCCAAACTATCTGATGCTGCCAGCAAATGCTCCCAAGTGTGCTCACCATAACAATCATCATGACGGATTCATGAATTTCTTGCACAGGGATGAGGAGGTAATCTACTCTAATTTCTACTTTTCCTTTTTTCCTTCTATGGGCAAAAGCAACTTTGAAATTTTGAATCTTAAGCATTTTCATTCTTCCCAAGGAAATTATGAATTTCTCAAAGGACATTCTTTGAGATAGATTTGCAGAGGAAATGAATTGTAAGATGATAGGTTAATTTCTTGTTGAATGATTTGTTATATGGTTATCCATTTGCTTATTCTCTAATGAGAAGTTTTTTCAGGTCAATTACTTTCCTTCAAGGTATGATCCTGTGCGTCATGCAGAGAGGTTCCCCATCCCACCAAGAATATGCACTGGAAAGCGTGAGAAGGTCAGTTGGTAGCCAGGTTATTTGTTGTCAAGCTTCTAATTTAACTCTGAAATAGTTGAGTTGCATGTTCTAAACCATGCATTTTGTTGAACGAATCTGTTCTTTATTCTGATTTTCCTGGCAATGAACTGACAAAACAATTCTAATAAAATTGTGTGAAACATTTTCAGATTTTGGGACTCTACTGCTATCAAGAAATAAATACTCATTGGTAAAAAGAGAAATGTTGTGACCCAACCAAATAGGATGACTAACACCCAACTTTATGTTTAATACAGTGTGTCATTGAGAAAGAAAACAACTTCAAGCAGCCTGGAGAACGATACAGATCCTTTGACCCTGACAGGTGCATGTTCTGCTATTCTAATATAAGGTTAATGAACAACCAAGTCCGAACATGACCTTTTCTTTTTCTTTTTTGCTTAATGCAGGCAAGAGCGATTTATCAAACGATGGTTTGACGCCCTATCTGACCCAAGGGTCACACATGAAATCCGTAGCATTTGGATTTCATACTGGTCTCAGGTGAGATTCATATTCATTGGTGTGTACTTTTATAAGTAGACATCACCATAGGTTTTAACCTTGTTGAAAGATCACCCTCCATCTATTTGAATTAGGGTAAGTTATGACATTTACAGGGGTGAAAAGATGCTGGTTTTAGTTCTTGTTATTGCTAGTATTTACATCAGTAGCAGGTACTGGCTTTATAGAAGTCACAGTTGAAGTGATATCCTTAATTTCTTTCTTTTTTCTTATATACGACAAGTCAGATAGGATCTCATGCTGAGCTATTTTTGTAAAATTGTTATTTGGTTGTTGGCTATTGTTTTGCGGCGTATAATGTCCTACTTGATGTGAATTACAGGCTGACAAATCTCTAGGACAGAAGCTTGCAACTCGTCTCAATGTGAAGCCGAGCATGTGAAGAATGTGGCACCGAGATGGGATTGTATTAAGTGTTGCTAGAGGAAAGCGAGTAATGGAGCAAAGGATTCCCCATGTTAATGATGGTGGAAATCTTATGCTAATCCTCTGATTGATGTGTTAATAGTGTACCAAGGAAACTTTACTAGTACTGTGACTCTACATTAATGAGATAACAGGCCATGTAATAAATTTGCTGATATATATGCAGGTTATGATTGCCCATGCCTAATTGCCTACGAGTTTGTGCAAGATGTGTGATAAATAATTTATAGCATCCATCTGCAAGGTTTAGTGCTTTTTTTTTTTTTTTTTTTTTYTTTTYTTKTTAGGCAAACTTGAAATGAAAGTAGGGGTGCAATCGATTAAAGCTTTAATCAAACAATAGGCTTGATTCGAGTTCAACCAATAAAAAGTTTGTGATATATGTATAATTCGTCTTTTGAGTCGAATTTGAACTTTTAGAATATTTAATCGAATTGATCTCAAACTGGAAAATGGAGTTCCAATCAAACTTGGACTTGAACTGTTGAACATAGTAGTATTTTAGTGAAATTCAGCTTGATTACACCCTTACTTGGAATTGGTGCACTTTGAAAATATGGCTGTTTTGGGGTTGCAGTGGAACTGGGATGGGCTGTGAACTATCCGTGAAATACTTTATGCATGCTTAATAAAGGAAGAAAAGGAAATCGAAAAAGAAAAAAAAAAGACCATTGGAGCTAATTTGCGTGAAAAACGAAGAGAAGATTATTGTATCTAATTTTGCATGAAATGATCATATTTTCAGAGTAAAGTAGCAAAGGCGGGAGTTATCTACTCTTCTTAATGAAGAATTGAAGGAAAAAAAAATAAATAAAACACAAAAATCCATTTACCTTCAATGGCTTTCAGCTGTGATGTTAAAGCACCCTAATCTGAGTTCTTTCCCCAAGGTTCAAATGACTATAAATAATGTTACACATATAAGATAAACATATTCTAATAGCTTATCTGAAGCAGGAATTATTGGGATACCATGGAAAACATTGGGAACTTGTAAAAGAATTAAACATGTATGTATGCGTTAGGAAGCCAATATAAAATCTTATTTATACTTAAAAAATGCTGATATAATGGTAGAGAAAAAGTTAAAAACCAATGTTATTTTAACAAGACGCCATCGTATGATTTAATGGTGAGAATCCTTCACTTTCACATACATTCACATGGACGGTCTGGGTCTAAACTCCATCATCAGCATATAGTTACAGAGATAAATGGATGTTGGGTGTTGAGCCGGGATCACTAACTAATACTAATATAATAGAAAAGAACTGTCTTTTCTGTATACTTTCCCCGGTTCCGTTGCTACCGCGGGCCTTACGCAATCGATCGGATCATATACATATCCCTTCAATACAACATAGGCCATCAAAAGAATCTCAGACGACCCATCAAAGCATGAAAGCCAGGATCTATCAGAAAATGAATTCCTATTCGAACAGTGCATAACTACATGGATAAGCTTACACTAATCCGTCAATTTGGGATTTTCCTTGGAAGGTATCAGGAAGGAATTGGAGTGTAATAATATCGATTCATACAGAAGAAAAGGTTCTCTATTGATTCAAACGCTGTACCTATGGGATAGGGATAGAGRAAGAGGAAAAAAGCTGTAGATAGATAGATAGATACCCTTGGCTCTCTTACCCTATTTGAGATCTCTCCCTACTGACAACTATCTAAACCTCTTTTTTAATACTATGAAAAAGATGATTTATTTCTCTAAATCGTTCTCATCTCCCTCCTGTTGATTACTTTTTACCTTGTGAAATCTTGGCTGGTTATGTTATGCAAAACCATTGTTCCCAAGCCCATTCCTCAATTCAAATAATTTATGATTTTGTTATGTTGTTTTAGCTACTAAATAAGATCATCAACTTTATTCAGACGATTCCCAAAACAAACACAAATTGTGGCCACGGTAGAAGATTGCCAGACCTCTTAACATGGCGAAAGTGAAACGAAATCCTTGAAAAGAAATCTGGGCCTCATCCACAACACATCGAATAGCTAGCCCAAGAACACAGCAGCTGAGATGCCTTACTAATTTACCACCTGCAAATTGTCTCTCGTGACACATTAATGAATCTTGTTCCCCTACTTCTTGCATTGTTTGTCTGTAAGACAAGCAGCTTTAATTTCTTGGGATGTCATACTTGATACTTAAGTTAAATGGCTGTAAGCATGATGGAGTTCAGTTGGCTCAGCTTCACATGTCAAAATCCTACTAGAAATTAATAGATCCAAACCCTTTTTTTCTCCTTCTAATCTGATTTTATCAAAGTAAAGCAGGTAACTTGGCTGGAATGGAATGCCCATAAACTCGCATATGATTTAACTACTTAAAACTAACATATACATGACTTTCTTTTAAATTGAGCTCCCAACAATCAAAATTTTCCAGGAACACAGCAAAGCCATAATTCATTAAAAATTGTACTTTTGATCAGATAGATGTTCTAGTGAATAGTACTAATCACTTTGGTCCGGCCGGTTTGAGAGAATTTGACTTTGAACGTACGGGAAAATTTGCACATTATCCTGAATTTTGAATGAGTTCACTGCAGCTCCTCTTTACCAATCCAAATACCTCATCATTCACATCAAAGATTTCAGAAGAATATAAGTATGATAATAAATTAAGGAAGAGACTTATTAAAAGCTATGAGACCAATTATCACTTTTCTCATTTGTACTCATTTTACTTTACCGTGTACACAGTTGGTTTTGATATCGTCATTTGTTCTGCTCTTTTACATGTATTTGGTTTCGTGGTCGTTTATGGATAGGGCGTTTATTTGTAGTTTTTCACTTTAAATATTTATTTATTTTAAATGTTTTTTACTTTAAATGTTTCATATTTTTGTTGTTTGGTTGAACTTAATTTTAGATGTTTTTTACTCTCTACCTAAGATTTATATCCATTAAAGTGTGCCACATCAGCATTTGGTTTGAAAAAACACTGGGGTATTGGCGGAAACAAGAATTTGATGTTTCCCCAAATGCCCCATACACAAAAATCAAAGTGTTTCAATTTTCTATCATTTATTTGATAAACAGTGAAACCAAACAATTGTTTTATTTTACTTCATTTGCAACAAGTACCAATACTTATACGGTACTGATGTGACGGTGTAACCAAACATCCCGTTGTCTGCACGCAGTTGGTTTCTTTTGTTTGCAGTGTAATTTCACTTGCACTAATAAAAATTCATGGGATTCCAAATGAAAAGACTACAAAATCTGGTTTATGTTTACTTTGTTTCAGGTTCTATTTTACAGTACTTGCTTCATGCTTCATCTTCACTGTAAATAAACAAATTACACCAGTGCAAATGAAATTGCACTTGCAAGCAAACTCGGCCCTAAAGAGGTTAACACCAAAAAAAAAAGTTCCCTAATTACCTTACTCGGTCATAAGGGAAGTTTTGATATAAGGTGGAGTGAACTGTATTAATTTGTGCGATATGTGAGCCTTTATAGTTCCAGTTAAATTTGCCTACTTTTGTTGTCCTTCATCTCACCATAGGTGAAGGTTTTGATACACTAAAGGCTCAGTTTGGGAGGAATGCAATACAAATGTGTATAGTACAAATACCAAGGTTTTGCATTAAATCAAGATTTTAAATATCGATACAAGGTATCGGTGCTTTTTTTATATTTTATTTATTTATTTCAAAGCTGATTTAAAGGAATCGGTTTAAGTCCCGGCTACTCTTTGAATCATGGACTGACTCGATACAAACCATCTAAAGGCATATCAGGAAGGCTCCAATACAATATGTATCGACTGATACGACCTGATATATAACGCAGATTTTGATCCTGATCCTTACACTAAACATATATTTGTATTCATAATCCATGCCGCTTAAAAGAAAGGGAAAAAACATATAATCTATAAATTGATTGGCATGAATCTGGGAGTGATTCTAAGTTTGGCAAATGGGCGTGAGAGAATTGCAATCAAGGATTAATTAGAATGATTTTTCTAACTTTATGGGTTATCATCTTATCCAATTTTGGTTCTTTATTTGTTTCTTTTGTATATGTTACAAAAAGCTGATGGCTTGCATCCATCAACATTTTGTTTTTTCGAAAATGTGCATCCATCAACTGATACTAAAATATTAACAACTTAATTTATAATATGATTGGGCTTATTTTCAATGCAATTAAGAGAAATTATGTATTTAAACTTTAGTGACAAAATATTGACTAATCATTTGTCTTTTAGTAGATAAAAAATGATTTTTTAGGTATATATATATATTAATCAACCTAACACCAGTTTCAGCATTTAAGAGGTGTTTTAAGTTAGGATGCTTAAGCCATAAAATTGGTGGTTGCTATCACGGTATTTGTTTAACCAATGGAAAACGAAAAATCCTTACTTTGGTATATGGTAGTGTGACATGTACAATAATTTATTATAGTTTTATTCACATGGACAATGAAAGTGGGAATGCCCCAAAAAACAACATTTTCTTTTTGTTGTTTTGGATATGCTAACCACAAGACATTACAGCCATACATTAGGAATATCTCCTTATCAATTAGAGGATATTCCCAATGTGCGGCTGTAAAATCTTGTGACTAGTGAGTTGTGGTCAGCAAATTCAGACTTTTCTCCTAAAACTTCCATGTGTATAGTCCAATGCAAAATATGATTTGGCTATTTAACTTTTCAATAAATCCATCCAAATAGATGTGCTTTTGAATTTGAAAGGCAAATCATTTATATCGTTTACATGTAGTCAAAATGGGAAATCAATGCCAAGATTCCAATCACTACTTGAGGAACACGTTCCAACCCTCCGCCAATTTGATCTAACACCGCACATTTCACCATGAGATTAGGATTTAGGACCCATTATAAAAGTGGTTCCCACCATATATGAGATGTGTGGTATAAGATCATGTTCGCAGAGGGTTGGAACGTGTTGTGTTGATAGGTGATCCAGACTTCTACCCATGGTTTTTAAAACTGGATAGGACCAGACGGTTGGACTGGAAAAATCGGGAACCATTCAGGTGATTGGTTCTGTTTTATCCCAAAACCGTTATTTCATAAAAAATTATTGATTTGGTCAGCAAACCATTGATCTGGGCGGTTGAACCATTCGAACCTTTCAATGGATTTGGCGGTTTCTTTTATTTTTTTTTTAATTTTATTTAATTTTATTTTTTGTCAAAATAGGCATTGATTCAGAGGGTAACTAGGCCTTAAACAGACTCCTCTGAACCGAATTTGAAAAATAAATAAATAAAACCTAAAAAAAATACCATAGAAGCCGATACACCCTACCGACGTAGATCAGTTGTAGCTTGGCTCGGCTGTATGTATGTAAGTGTGTTGATATCACAAAGACACATATATACACACATAAAATGTGATATAAATTTTATAAATATATTATTATATATATAGTATTAATTTGAAGTCAAAGGCTCCGAAACCCAGCCTGGACTATGATCACCAAAGCCTCTTTGACAACTTAGAGTCCGTTTGACGGTTTGAGGGCTTTTGCGTTCTCACTGAGACGCAGGCACATAGCTTCTATGTTTTCCATTTGGGGGCCATCTCAAAACGTGAAAAGTTGCTGTATGAAAGCCCTTTCAAACAGACACCTAATCAACAAAGCAATAAGTCATTAAGTTGAACCACTTTAGCTGTAAGCAAAGGGCCCCTAACTAATCCACCCATGCATTGTCATATGGATCATGATTTTGGTTCAAACACAATCCTAAATGGATCTCATTCTAAGGGGGCGTTTTTTTTTTTTGGATTTGGAGGGGGAAAGTTGGTCAATGGGAACCCGGTTACCCATTGCCACATCATCAATTGAGATAAATAAAAATTTACATGAAAAATAAAAGAACATGGGTAAATGCACTTACCTAGATAAGTATTTTCCAGAAAAAGCTTACCCAAGTAATTGCATTTACTCAGATAAGTAACTTATCAAAAATCAAACGGGGCCTAAGTTTAAACTATAAACTTATAGGGTAAATTTTTGTTTATCTCGATTGATGGTGTGGCAATGGGAATCCGGTTACCCAAATATTTGGACCCTGGTCCAATGTATTTCTGATCCATTAAGAATTAGGTCCAACCTTGTCTCTCCATGTTAGGATTACGATTAGGATTGAAAGTCTCTATGTAATTCTATTGTAATTGTAATTGAATCAGGAGTCTCCGATTTTTTCTTGTATACTTAGGAGACTCGAATGTATATATTTGGGTATTGTTAGTGAATAAGATACGAAAGTAGAACCCAGAGAAACGGGAGGCGGTTCCGTTCTGAGTTCCGTTTTTTCGCAGATCAGACAAGAACTCTGCAGAATTCTTCGGTCTTCTTCTTCTTCTACAGAGGTTCCGTTCGGCTGAAACTGTTGATCGCCTTCTATTTTTGGACATCCAACAGAGGCGGCGGCAACCATCCCACCTACCCTCTGTTTTTACCTCTTCGAGATTCCTGACTGCAAGCGCTGAACACCATGTCAGTTTGAAGCAAGAAGATAAGAAACGACACCCCTGTTCCGGCGATCGAATTCAGGGCAAAATCTAACTGGATCAAACCAGCGCTTGCTCATCTTCCTTGTTGAGACGGCGGATGCGATCAAAGGTTCCAAAATCGAGTGACAACGGCGACCTCCGAGTGGTAACCATTGGCACGACGATCGAACCCAACCCAGAAGAGCGGCGGTGAACGTCTTCCTGTTCCGGGTGGTAACCATTGGCATGGCCGTTCTCGTACTACCTCTCTCTGCTCATCTACTTCCTAGCCCACATACGACCGCCTCTTCCTCCCCTGCCTCTCTCTGCTCTCACAGATTTGGCAGGCGGAAGAGGCTTCGAAGGGAACTTGACGAAGCCTGCTGCGCTTTCTGTTGAGGCTGCTTCTTCTCTGCCGGCGACGAAGCAGCAACCCTGGCGGCGATGGGTTCGCCATTGGCGGCAACAGGTTTGCTATCGGCAGCAATAGGATTGCTATAGGCGACAACAAAATTCTCTAGCAACGATCGTTCAGCGGCGGCACTTCGGACCAGTGATCAGCGGCGACTTCGAACTAGTGATCAGCGGCGACTTTGGACCAGTGATCAGCGGTGACAACGTTCTGCGTTGTGGTTTTCAGTCTGACGTGTTTTCGGACCAGCGGCGGCACTTCGGTGATCATCGTCTCCTTCGGAGAACAGCGGCAACACTTCTCTGGTTGGAGTCGTAAGCTCTGGTTTTACAATACGGCCCGCCGGGAACTGAAAAGACAAGCCTGTTCGCTGCCATTGCGAATTTCCTCATCTATGACCTCAAATTAACGGCTGTGTCGAGTAATTCACAGCTGAGGAAGCTCCGGATCTCGACTTCCAACAAATCGGTGATCGTCGTGGAAGACGTCGATTGTTCGCTTGATCTTTGAGATCGAAAGAAGAAGGAAAGATTAGAGATAGAGGAGTCACAACGGCAGAGGAAGTAATAGCTTCGGAGCACTGTTAGTCTATCTGGGGTTCTGAATTTCGTCGATGGGCTCTGGTCGTCTTGACAGGTCCTGTCTTTGCTAAGCTCGTCTTGCATCTTCCTCCACCCACGGTCTTTTTTGGTTGATGGGTGAAGCAGTGACAACGAGAGTTCGTTGAAGAGAAGAGAAGAGAACGGTTTCATGACTCCGCTAATAAGCAGAACGCAAAGGCAAGAAGAGAGGCGATGAGAAGACGGGAGGCCATTCGTATAGAAGAATAGAGGAGGAAATTCTTCTCCTTCTGTAGAAGTTCCGTTTGGCCGAGACTGTTGATCGGACAACCGTCCTAACAAGGGCTCAAGTCTCCGGCGAGTCAACATTCTGCGGTAGCGGAGATCGACTCTTTGTCATTTGTGGCGATTCTGCCACCGGTTGTGGGTTTTCAAACACAGTAGTTGGTATGGCTGAAAACAAAGAAAAAGAACAGGGTGAACAGAAACAAGGAGTAGGGGTAGGAGGAAAAGGTCGTGGTGGCCAAGTCAAGGCCTATACAGCCAAAGCCTTTGCGCAAGGCAATGCGTCTCAAGGAGAATCAATTGATGCAGCCAAGACTGGGTTAAATGGACTGAGTAGTGAGCAGTGGAACATGTTACTCAAACTTTTGAACACACAGAAAAAGGGGAATCAACGACTAAGTGGTAAGCAAAAATTGACAGAATGGATAATAGACATAGGGGCCTCTCATCATATGACAGGAAGCCTCGAGTCGATGAGAGACATAAAGAATGTCATTCCATGCTCTGTCGGACTACTAGACGGGAAAGCATCATAGCAGAGAAAGCAGGCATAGTTGCACTGGATGATCATCTGAAACTAACTAGTGTTTTATATGTGCCTAGTTTGAATCGCAATTTACTTTCCGTATCGCAATTGATTGAGGAATCGAATTGTATTGTCCAGTTCATTAATAAATTTTGTGTGATACAGGACCGCACTACGAGAATGCTGATTGGAGCGGGTGAGCAGCGAGAGGGACTCTATTATTTTCGGAGCATTGCATCAACAAGAGCAATGAAGACTATAGAAAGCAGGACAAATGGCGATATTTGGCATCAAAGGTTAGGGCATCCTTCTTATAGAATTGTTAAGTTGCTGCCTTTTATTAGTACTAAGAATAGTAATGATGACAGTATTAAGGGTTGTGATGCATGCTTTCGAGCTAAACAATGTCGAGAAGAGTTTGTTTCTAGTATAATAAAGCATCTGACATTTTTGAGTTAATTCATTGTGATTTGTGGGGTTCTTATAGAACTGCAGCTTCTTGTGGTGCTCATTATTTCTTGACCATAGTAGACGATTTTTCTAGAGGCGTTTGGATTTATCTTCTGGTTGATAAGACGGAAGTGGGACAAGTTCTTCGAANNNNTTTTGCTATGGTTCAAAGGCAATTTAACAAACCTGTAAAGGTGATTCGTACTGATAATGGGAATGAGTTTGTATGTTTGGCTAGTTATTTTGCTGAAAGTGGTATTATTCATCAAACCACTTGTGTCGGGACCTCTCAACAAAACGGGAGGGTTGAACGCAAGCACCGCCACATACTCAATGTTGCCCGAGCTTTGTGCTTTCAAGCCAGCTTGCCTATTGATTTTTGGGGGGAATGTGTCTTGACCGCATGTTATTTGATCAATCGGACACCGTCCATTCTGTTGAAGGGAAATACTCCCTATGAAATGTTATTTGGGTGACCTCCTTATGATAATGTGCGAGTTTTTGGTTGCTTAGCATATGCACACAATCATGGACATGGAGGGGATAAATTTGTTAGTCGAACCAGACGGTGTATTTTTGTTGGGTATCCTTTTGGAAAGAAAGGATGGAGCCTGTATGATTTAGAGTCCGACATGTTCTTTGCATCAAGAGATATTACCTTTATAGAGCATGAATTCCCTTATACACGCAAGGAGGATAAACAACCAAACAAAGCACAAGGCCAATTTCATTGTGGAATAGGTGGGACAGATGAGGTGTTGGTGCCATCCACTTATTTACCAGGACAAGCAAATGGTGAGATGGAGACTAACCAGCGAGGTGAACTTGCGGAAGAAAGAGTCAGTGTAGAAGAAGGAACCCACATAGACCCAAATGCCAATACTAGTGAACCCATGCATTCTTCTGACGCCACCGCAGAAAATACAAGCGAAGACAGTCCTAACGTTAGGGGGGGTGGCAATGTTGAGCAACAACAACACTCTGATTCTCATTTAGGGCGTGGGCATCGACAGAAACAACAGTCCACAAGGTTAAGAGACTATGTGCTTTACACCACACAGTGCTTGAGTCCCTCTCCACGTCCCTTTGCAAGCTCACTCAGCCAATCACATCCTGCAGGTAGTCCTTATCCCATAGATAACTATGTGAATTGTAACAATTTTTCTTGTCGACATCGTGCTTTCTTGGCAGCTATTACTGTAGGAGTTGAATCTACTTCTTTTGCTAAGGCCGTAAAGGATGAAAAATGGAGGGATGCAATGCAAAAAGAAATACTAGCACTTGAGAATAATCAGACATGGACCGTAGAGCCTTTGCCATCCAAAAAATGAGCCATAGGATGCAAATGGCTATATCAAATCAAGTACAACGCTGATGGGAAAGTGGAAAGATACAAAGCCCGTCTCGTGATCTTTGGGAACAAGCAGGTTGAGAGAATTGATTATAATGAAACTTTTGCCCCAGATGCAAAAATGGTTACTGTCCGTACCTTTCTTGCAGTCGCAACAGCTAGAAATTGGGAGCTTCATCAAATGGACGTACATAATGCATTCTTGCACGGTGACATTCATGAGGAAGTCTACATGTGAATGCCTCCTGGTTTTCAGTCAGATAAACCAGGTATGGTGTGTCGGTTGCGAAAATCTCTGTATGGCTTGAAACAAGCGCCGAGACGTTGGTTTTTTAAATTAACCGCAACCTTGAAGACATATGGGTTTCAACAATCAGGTTCAGATTACTCCCTATTCACCTTTCGTCGAAACATGGTACATGTGCTTGTCCTCGTGTATGTGGACGACATTATCGTGTCAGGTAATGATCATATGGCAATTCAAGTCTTCAAGAAATATTTAAGTAACTGCTTCCATATGAAAGACTTGGGACCATTGAAATATTTTCTGGGCATTGAAGTTGCCCGAAACTCAACAGAAATTTTTCTGTCTCAACGAAAGTATGCTTTGGATATTATCGCTGAATTTGGATTACTTGGTGCAAAACTTGCTCCTTTTCCTATGGAGCAGAATCACAATCTGGCCTTGACAGATGGGCCTCTCTTATCTGATCCTGAGCGATACAGGCGCTTGGTGGGCAAGTTTATTTATCTCTCAGCAACTCATCCTGAGTTGTCTTATTGTGTGCACGTTCTATCCCAATTCATGCAGCAACCGCAAGAAAGACATTGGGAGACTGCATTGCGAGTGATGCGCTACTTGAAAGGAAATCTTGGTCAAGGAATTCTCTTGTGTTCAGATTGTGACTTGTAGTTATATGCATGGTGTGATTCAGACTGGGCGAGTTGTCCTTTGTCCCGACGTTCTCTGTTTGGATGGTTTATTCTACTTGGGAAATCGCCTATTTCATCGAAAACTAAGAAGCAATACACTGTGGCTCGTTCTTCAGCGGAAGCAGAGTATTGTTCTATGGCCATGACCACGTGTGAATTACAATGGCTGAACGGATTGTTATTGGCTCTTGGAGTTACGCATTCAAACCCAATGCGATTATATTGTGATAGTCAGGCATCCTTGCATATTGCAGCGAACCCAGTGCTTCATGAGCGTACGAAACATATTGAAGTTGATTGCCATTTTGTACGTGATGAGATTCAAAATGGTTGCATTCATCCTGCTTATGTGTCGACTATTGTTCAGCTGGCAGACATTTTTACAAAGGCACTGGGTCGCAAAGAATTTGAGTACTTTCTCCGCAAGTTGGGCATTCACAATCTGCATTCTCCAACTTGAGGGGGGG